ACTCAATGATGGACAGGACTTGGGATGAAGGAAAGGGAAGAACCAGGGATAACTCCAGTGTGCTTATACCTTGAGTGACCTGGTGGACTGTGTACGTGTTTGTATGTGTTGGGAGAGAAATGGGTCGGGGAGTGGTAAGAACGTGTGCAGAGATAATGGATTTATTCTGGGAACTGTCAAGAGTGAGGTGCCTATGAGCACCAGGATGCAGTGTGGTATGGCTGGGGCAAAAGTCTAGGGAATTCAGCAGTTACCACAACGTAAGTGGTATCCAAGCCCCGATGTGTGAGGATAAGACTACTCAGAAAGAGTGAAATCAGCTTCTAAAGAGAAGGCAGAGGCGGTGGAGCTAGCATGAAAGAATAGAAAACGCAGGGACTCTGGGACAGACTTTGATTCCAATTCTAATTCTGCCATTTACCAGCAATACGACACTGGATCTTTTTGAGCTTCGGCATGTTCATCAGTAAAACAGATCTAATACCCACGTCCCGGGATTACTGGAACCGTGCGTTTTTACTGTACGTGATCCGAGTACCACGTACTCAATAAACGGAAGTAATAAATTTAGTGTACAAAGTGTTCTGGGTGCATAACGAGCGAGGGAGTCGGGGAAAGTGGGGGTAACGGTAAGGCTGTACCAGAGGTGACACTTGAGGTGTTATCAGAGCAGATGTCATCAAGTTAGGTTTTGAAAGATGTGAGTTTGCCAAGCACTGCAGTCTTCCAGATGGAGAAGAACGGGCCTCAATCTGAAGGTGCAAACAAGCCTGAAACTAAGTAAAACCGCAGGGGGCGGGAAAAACCCGGCCAGGCAGGCGGGAGCTACCAGCTGGGACGCCTGAGGGGTGGGTCAGGGGCCAGCAGACGCAGCACCGTCCTCCCTACGGGGGGCGCCGCCTACCTCCGGGGCTACGCCGTCGCTCTCGCTGTAGTTCTCGGAGATGAGCTGGTCGAAGAGCAGGTGAATCTCGGTGCGGGCGAAGCTGCTGTCGTCCGGACGCAGGGCGCGAAGCCTAGCCGACAGACGGCGGAACCCATTCCCAGGTTCAGGGGGTGGCTCCCGCGGCGCCTCTCTCGTCGGCCTGCACAGCAGGGAGCCAGCAACCTGCACCGCCGCCATATTGCCCCCTAAGACAGCAGGAAAGTACTTCCGGGTTATTCTCCCCCCACCCCGCGGCGCGCTAGCTAAGCAAATGCCTAATATGGACCAGATCGGTTTCCGTCACTATGCGACGCGTCATACTGACGCACAGGAAATGCTTGTCAGAGATTAGCTTGAAGACTTTTTCGCCACCCACGTCTTCTTAAATCCTGACTGAGACGTGGCAGCTGTTTTCCCAGCCCTTTCTGGGCAGGGCTGACATTACTCTCTTGAGTCCTGACGTTTCAAATTTAGACTGGGTTAGGGGAATCCTAGGGATGGCATGATGGAGAGGGGCTACTGTGGATGGCGGTGGCAGAAACTACTAGTTCGAAGACATCCTTCTCCTCTTCTTACATAGCAGTAGAACCCCTGGTTTTTATCCTGGCACAAGGCCACCCTGAATAAAAGACTACATTTCACAGTATCCTTGTAGCTGGCTGTGGCCGTGTGATTAACAGCTGGCCAATGGAACCGAGGGCAGATTTCCCGAACTTAAGCAACAGCTGGCTGCGCTCTTTGTTCCCTTTTCTCCCCGTTTTCCAATGATAATCCTCCCGTGAGTCATGAGACACTTAGCCCAAGAAAAGTAATTGAAAGTAGAGGCTGAACCATAGAAAATAACTTGCCTAAGGGTGACCTGTCTCTGGGTAACAAAAACTGTTAAGAGTTTGACTACTAGCTGAAAGATTGGTGGTTTGAACCCACCCAGAGGCACCTTGGAAGATAGCCTGGTGATCTGCTTCCAAAAGGTCACAGCCTTGAAGAGTTTCTCGAGCAGTTGTACTCTGCACACATGGGGTTGCCTTGAGTCGGAATGGACTCCATGCAACCAACAACAACAGGAGTGACCTGGTTGACATTGAACACCTCAAGGTTTTCTGAAAGCTTCAAGTCAAAAAGCTGGAAAGTAAAATAGCCATTTTAAAATCTGTGAACAGTTTTCAGCCACCCAAGAGGTGAATGTGTGGAATTCCCATTAAGGCAGACTGAGAAAACCATCTCTAGGGCCTTTGAGTTATGAAAATATAAAAGTAAATCTTCACCCCTGGCTCTTAGGGAAAGC